AGTGGCCCCGAGTCCCTCCCCCTACCCCCGGCCCGGCCCGCCGGCCGAGCGCTGGGCGCCCGCGGTGTGTCGCCACGCGCGCACGCCGTGGCCGCGCCACAAAGAAGCGCGCCTTTGTGTGAGTCTCATGGCCCGATCGATAAGACTGCAACAGGGAGCGGGCGCTCTGGCCGCGGACGGCGGCTTCCCAGACGGCCTATGGGCGGCGCACGCGGCTCGCTGGGAAGGGTTGAAGTACAGAACCACTCCCCAGCGAAGCATAGGGAACAAAGGGAGGCCTCTTTGGATTCCCTCCCCCCCCCCCCCTAGCTCGAGGCGGGGAGCGCGACGACCGGCGGCTGTTCTCTCAGTTGGTACGCGGGAGGCTGCCAGTCCCATCTCACCGCACTACGGCAAGTGGGCCGGTACTATGCTGGTCTTCCGCGGGAGTCGGATGCCTGTTGGCGCGGCAGTGAGTGGCGGCTGCCCCCGGTCCACTGCGGGGGGGGGGGGGGGCGGCCGAGCTCTGGCCGGCCGGCGGGGAGCGGGCCGTAGCGTCCCGCCCAGGTGTCGGCGCGCCGGCCACTCCCCAGCCGCGCCGCCCGCCGCCCGATTGGCGTGTGTGCCGTGCGCGCGCGGCGGCGGCGGCGGCCGGCCATGTGCCCGCGATATTGCACGGGACAACATGGCGGCGGCGGCGGCGGCCGGCCAGCCAGCCAGCCAGCCAGCCAGGGGCCGGCCGGCCGGCCAGACAGCTGAGCCCGCCGGCCTTGAACGTGAATGATGCCAGCAGTGGCGGCCGCGCTTGCACGGGGTGCTGAGCTCGGCGCGCCGGTCCGCCGCGCCGCCCGCCATGGAGCACTTCGTCGTGTTCGGTACGGCCGGCGTGGCGCCCGGCCGCGGCAGGTCGGCCCGTGACCGACGGGGCTTACGCGTGAGGGGCTGGGCGTGTGGGCGCGCCGACCTCGGCCGGGCGACAGGCCGTCGAGGGGAGGGGAGGGCTGTGACGTGTCCGAGGGGAAGCGGACTGCCTGTGGTCTGGCGCATCCCGCCGGGTCGGAAAGCCGGCACCATGGGCTGCGCTGCTGAGGCCTGGCGTGGCCGAGCGACGCCACGCCCACTCTTGCGCAAGAGTCCCGCGCCATGTCGCGTGGTGTGCTGACGCACCACCCCGTGGTTGCTCTGTCTGGTGCCTGCGTCAGCGATATCGCGAAGAGGCTGGTCACTGACCCGTCGCCTCGCCTTCAGTGTCCTGAATGTGTGTTTCCCTTTGCTCGGCAGGTCAAGCGCCCCACAATGAAACAGAACTGGGCTCCAAAATGCTCCAGATCCAGTCCAAACGCTTCTACATCGACGTCAAACAGAACCGGCGGGGACGCTTTGTCAAAATTGCTGAGGTAAGTCTCTGAATCGTTTGCCTCCCTTTCGATGTTGTTGGCTCTGCCTCTGTTAAGAAGGACTTGGTGACGCCAGATAAATTCTACGAGGGATGTGGTAGGAGATGGGCCTTGGAAACATATACTTTGACGTGTTTTCTAAAACGAGCAGAAAATGCTGATTCAGAAAAAACATTTCTTCAACTCCCACAAGTCACAGACGCGTGAAATCTTGTCACCCTTGTCATCATTACGGCGTCAAGACGTGTTTGCAAGCAAAATGTGATGGAAACGGAGTAGGAGAGTTCGCAACATCTTTCTTTCTACCTAACTCAAAACTGAATAACCCTGGGCTCAACCTCTGTAAGGTGTAATGTCAAATGTTACGCAATCTGTTGTCTGAGCGATGGTACTAAATCATCATAGAATACTGCAAGTAGCGGCTCTCATCTCATCCCAGTTGCTTACGTGGAAGAATTGGTCATTACGTCCTCTGTCGTTGTTTGTCGATCAGCCGTTGGTTGCACTGCCTCGCGTGCGGTGGGCTGGACTGGGCTAGCCTGGCCTGGCCTGGCCTGGCCTGGCCTGGCCTGGCCTGGCCTGGCCTGGCTTGGCTTGGCTTGGCCTGGCCTGGGATGGGCTGGCCTGGCCTGGCCTGGCCTGCCCTGACTGACCTGACCTGACCTGACCTGACCTGACCTGACCTGACCTGGCCTGGCCTGGCCTGGCCTGGCCTGGGATGAGCTTGGCTGGGATGGGCTGGGACGGGTTCTGTAATGTAGAATTAGCGGACCCCGGACGGGCTGGGCTCGTGATAATGGGGGATGGTATGATAAAGCGCACCATCTGAGTCCGAATCAAATAAAAGGTATGTCATGGACACCATTCCGCGGTCGTGGTTTACTGGCAACTTCATGTGAACTCTGGAAGCTGGACAATTTTACTGTCATAGTTATGAAGAAGAAATATTTGTAACATTGTCAGTAGTTGTTTTCACTGTAATTAAGGTATAGGTGCGTCGTACAAAAAAAAAAAAAATATGCACGGAAACAATTTCCGAGATCACACCAGAGCGAAGTGAATTTAGTTAAGAAGAGTGACTTTAGTTAATGTTGCGTGTTTATGTTATGTAAGTGATGAACAGAACGTCATTTTTTAAACAAGCTTCTAAGCTAGTGCATAATGTGTTCTTTAAGGGGTTACATGCGCTGCAGAGTCTATCTGGATCACCCAAGTGAGAACACATTTAGCATCATTCGAATCGTGATTTGAACATTTTTGTTTTTCTTCCTACAAGGCAAAAAACAAATTTCACTTTCAACTTTTTGATGGAACAAGGGACTTCGGATATTCGTTTAAATTCACCAACTTGCAAAAGCATGTTGGATAGTATTTCAGAGCATTAATGGCTTTAAACGATAACCCAGTTCGTGCAAATCATAGCCATCTTTTATCCCGTGAAAGCTAGATTTACGCGCCGTTGAGATCCCTCCGATAGGTTGTACTCGGCCAGAGTGAAGCGACAGTAGTGCAGTGGCTGTCGTTTCATGAGAGGCATGGGTTGCGACTTTAATACTAGACGGAACTGAATGACAGCAAAAGTTAATTGTGCAGGATGGCATAATCTGGCGATAAAATGTGTAGAAAAGGCCACAGCATGTCTTGTACAGCAGAATAAAAAGACAGCACAACAACAAAGGCTCAGCTAACCGGCAATGGTAGCGCAGTGCCGTCAGTCATGAAAGGAAGCCCGGAGAGAGCGGGGACGACGCTGCCGACGTTTTCCAAGGGGTAAACAGATGTGGGGCCTCCCTCCAGATCTTTGAAACCTTTCACCCGCGCCATACTGTTCGGGTATCATCAGAAAAAAATTGAAAAGCGGGATTAGGTACATTGACATGCTGCAGGTGGGGTGTGTTGCGTTGAGAATGCACTGCCCAAAGGGCACCTGAATTCATTTGGACCTAATTTTAACGTGAATTACAATGTTTTAGGAAATGCATGGTGTTTTCTTTTCGGCAGGATGCTACCCGATCGGTCTCCTGCGGGGCCTGTTCATTTTTGTCCTGCACCACTTCCTGTTTAAAGGCAGTGATATCACAGTGGAGGGTTGCCTGAAGCGTAGTGGTTAACGCGCCCGCGTAAACGACTACGCGTCTGGGAAACCAGGGGTAGGGGGTTCGATTCCCCGCGGTGCCCGCCCTTCCTGCCGGGGTGGGAGGCAGGCGGTGCCACATAGCCTCAGCAGCTGAGTGCGTCGTAAGACCCCAATGACAGCAACGACGATGTCACATGGCCGATGGCATATTGAACATTATCGCTGTTGTGGTTGGCTCCCGGCACCGCTGGGTATGGCACCGGTCCCTTACCTATTAAGTGTTTGATTTTGGTACCATCGATGTTGATTTGACGAATCCGCTCGACTTCGTCTTTTTGATACTTGTTCGTTTTTTTGATATTTCATCTCATGGTCAAGATGAGACCCATTGTCACTGACGTCGATCCTCGAACACACCAGAATCCTCAACATTTTCCGCAGCTGCAGATGGTCTTCCGGGACCCGGCAGACCGTTTGAGATCACGTGGCTGTCTGGAGTGTCGGGGTGGTCTCAAGGGGAGGGGGCTTGACTGTGTTTAGGGCATACATTTTTCCGACGCGTCCCCTTCAATACCCCGGGGGACAGTGAAGGGGACGCATGGGGATGGGGTGCTCATTTTGTGGGGATGCTTAGGTTGTCGGAGGCGGAAACATGGATTTTCGGACGTCCGGCGCACGGGTGGGTTTCCACGTTCTTCTTCTTGCTATTGCCCCATCCCTGATCAATTATGCTCCGCTCTCCGTGATAATGCGGGAGGTTTAGGCAGTCCGTGATCCGCTGAGGTCATCTGTATGATCATCAGTCGGGTCTCGGGTCGCACTGGGGACAGCTTCATTATTTGTGGGCCCCTGGTTGGCCGCGCTCGTGGCGTTCGTGGGTGCATGTCATTCTCATGAGATGCAAGGCAATATTTACTTCTTGGTAAAGTTTGGAACCCTGTGCGCCCACATTCGTCTGGGCTTGACAGGTGATTGCCCAGCATGAGTCATTATGCGCGAAATTCTTCCCTGGAGATTGCAAAATGTCAAGGTGTATACCCATTTGTGCTGGGCCATAGTTTGGCGCTGGTCGGCACCTCTGCTGTGCTGCTGCACCGTCTGTCGCTGTCCTTTTCAGCTGGGGGGGGGGGGGGGGGCGACATCTCACCACCCGCTAGGACGGCGGGCCACAGCCGAACTAGTTGTGAGGCGTGAACATGGAAGCACTTGTTTTCTATGGGATGCTCATCCACGTAAGGTATAGTTGCTCGATCTCATGTTATCTCGGTTTCCGTCGTCACCCCGCGGTAGCACCAGCAGGAGAGTCCTCTAATGATGATAATGATGATCATGATTTGGAGTTTTAGGACGCATCGACTGCCGTAGGTCACGCAGCGCCCATCAGGAGAGTTCTCTAAAGGGTCCCGTGTTCATGTGAAGTCCGCCCTCCCCCCCTCCCCCCCAGCGCGCCCGTACACGCGTCCCCGCCGGCGTCCGGGGATGTCCCGTTCATGTCCGCCGCCGCCGCCGCCGTGACCGACGACGACTGGTCGGGAGCCGTATGACGTTAAATCGGCGGGCGCCAACGGCACTGCGCGGGCGCGGCGTGCTCCACGCATTTGGCGTCATGGGAAAGCGGCTCCGACAGCCGCGGTCGATTCCGTGCCCGCGCCCGACCACCCACGCCCGCGCCCGCGCCCGCGCCCGCGCCCGCGCCCGCGTCCGGCGTCCGTCAGCCGAGTCTCTGCCGGTCCGCAGATGGTAGCGCGGCCGCGGGCAGGGCATGAAAACGGCCTTTTGCTCCATCTCGGAGTGATGTGTGAACGTTTTGATGATGGCCGAGACGGTCGAGATCTACATATGAGGCCGGGACGGACCTCTGCTCTTCGGCACATGACTTTTTCTTCGTGTGTGTAGCTAATCGTGCTCTCCGCGTCACTAGACGGCAGAGCCTAGCGCTCCAGGCGTCTGGCCGGTTCTCTATAGAAGGAAATGCGATTGAATGTTCTGCGAGGGTGAGTTCCGGATTAAAGTCCTTGCTTAGTATAACTTATTGGGAAGATCCTGCCGCACCGCTCCGGTAAGTACCATGTGACGTCATGACACTGCCGACAAATAAAGCCTTGCCCTCGTTGTAGAGCGGCCATTGGGTCGTTCTTCGACGATTCACATAGACGCCATTGCTGGGACGCTAGCCGCGTCTGCCACACAAGTGGTCATATGTCAGATGTTTTACCGCCTAAATCGCGGGGATGGTCAAGGACGAGTACTCGCCGTCCACTGGCGTGCCGTTTGGTGCTGCTGTAAGCACAGGACATTTAAGGCCAGCGTGGTACACTGTCTCCTTTGCGCTTCATCTCGCCGGACCATGGGATAGTTACGTAGCCAATTTTTTCAGAGGGGTTTGGGTGGGCGAATGCCATCTTTTCTCCGATTTCTGGCGAAGTTGGACCGAACTCCCATGAAAGCGCCCAGCACCTAGTGCAATCCTGTTGCTCATGAGGGGAGGGCATGGGAACCTTGTCCCCCCCCCCCCCCCCTCCAGGCCATGTCCTTTCCTCGGGTTGCCCATGTGCGGCATCCACGTGTGTCTGTGGTTAGGCCTGATCATCTGTTTGAATATGCTACGCTACGCACCCGATCAAAATACGTCCGTCTGGCGGGTTGATGATTTTGTGTGCCATGCGTGCGTATCTTCGACAGGGATGCCTGCGTGTCCAGCCGTCGTGTGTGCCTTCTGACACATCTGTTGTCTAGGCGTCTCATGCAGTGCTGTCAGCAACGGACCTAGGAATAAGCCCTGCCTGTGACAGCCCGCAAATAGACTGGCGTAAATAGACTGGCGTTTTGCCCTAACCACGCTCCGGTTTTCCTGCGTGATGTACTCGGCTTTTAGAATACGGCCTGCTGCTGGGCCATTGCAGTCGTGATGCGCTTCATACACGAGACGACGCACTGAACACGCCACGGCACGGATGGAGGTCACCGGTCTGGTGGCGGCGGCCCCGCCGAAGGGTCGCTGTACGGGTACAGCGGGCGGCGTGGGTGACCCCCTCCGGGCATGACCTGAGGCCGCCCGGGGCCGCTGTGGCCAGCGGCACGGCTGGGGCTCCCGGGGGCGTCACGTGCGTCGGTGCCGGCGCGCCTTCCGCGCCGCCCTCGCCGCCCTCGCCGCGGCCGCGCTTCCCCTGCGCCGGTCGTATTGACTCATGGTTCACGCTGCTCAGCCGCCGTGTTTATTGAAGATGAATGATGTCGTTCCGGCGTGACTTGCCGCTTGAATGGCCCGGCTGCTTTTCAGACATTCGACGAACGTAACGATTGTAGGCAATGTGCGGCTCGCCCTTACGTTTGTTGACTTGGCGTCGAGGCCTCCGCCACTGCAAGCTTTCGAAGAAGGGTATTTCCGTGACGTTGAAATGCCTCCACTGTGTTCAACATGGATTCAAACGCCGTTAGATGCGGAATGGGTGGATGGCTGGTGGCAGAAAGTGGCGTTGATCGTGCGGGTGATTTTAGGCACAAGCAGTTTGTGTAATGAAGCTATTGAAGGTAACCTCGTGCCCGACATCGGTGCGGACTGACCATGGCGCGGTGTTCCTTTGCTGTGTGGAAGTTCTTCGCGTGAATGGCTGTTACCTCGCACCTGCATGTGACGCGTCCGTTGGCTGTCGCCGAGCGCTGACCCCACGTCCGAGGGCTGTGACCATGACACCTCCGGTGAGCGCTGTCGGCTGACTGTGACCCCGTCCTCTCCCCCGATGGCCGTCGCCGGGCGCTGACCCCACGTCTGAGGGCTGTGACCATGACACCTCCGGTGAGCGCTGTCGGCTGACTGTGACCCGGTCCTCTCCCCGATGGCCGTCGTCGGGCGCTGACCCCACGTCTGATGGCTGTGACCATGACACCTCCGGTTCCGGGACCACCTGTCGTCGTTCAGCGACTACTACTCCAATCTGGGCCCGCCCTGCCCGGACAACTTCCCCGAGGATGGCAAACTCAAGTCGGAGATGATGGTCAAGGACAACCGGCGCTACTACCTTGACCTCAAGGAGAACTCGCGGGGACGGTTTCTGAGGGTATGTGTCACCTCCCCCTCGCACACCGCCGTGGTTGGATCCCGGAGGCACCAGTGATCCAGCGAGGGGTCCCGTCGCCGCCCGCGTCGCCCCTCTGTGGCGGTGGTGCATCTCTGGCGGGGTCTGCTGGTGCTGATGTCAAAAGAGGGGGATCAGAGATGTGTTGTAGTTCGGGCGCCGGAGTTGTCACTCAAACCATCGCTTGCGGTCTGTCATCTGTCCCTTTTCGTCACAGCTGTGGTCGTTTTACCCCAGCTGACACCCTTTCCTTTGCGCCAGGTCGATACCTTACATAATTATGTCACAACGTCTTGACGCCCAAGAACAGGAACACGTGTCGACCTCGGTGCACCGTTGTCGGTGTCACTCAGCTTGCAGGTTTTCGGACAGCGATACATTCCGCAGCGTTGTCGTGTCCCGCCCGGTGCTGTAGCGCTCCAGTGCTCGCTCCTTCGTTTCCGGCCCTGCGGGCGGATTGAAACATACCGGACCCTCTCCTCGATATCAGGGATTGCCCCCGCGTGGTCCGGCGCTGCCGCCCCATCAATGTTCCCCACAGGATTTGGCCATGCTTCCTACCGGGCGTGGCCGTGGCTGTGCCGGTTACCTTCCTGTGATGCTGTCGGTTGTTTTGCCACGCGGCTGCCTGGATGGTGCCGCAGTTCTGTCCGTTTCCTGCCAGGTGGCGTTTCTCCAGTCCCTTTGGGCAGATCGGTGGGCTCTACCCACTGTCCTGTGGCGGACGGCGGCGGCCTTGCCGTCTTCACGCGCCACGTGCCCGCCAGGTCTCTGCGCCGGCTACGTTACTGTCCTGCCCTGGATCGTCGAGCTGTCCGCACTCTCACGCTGTTGTAACGCCGGTCCTCCGCTGCTGCTCCATGACGTGGGCTATGACGTCACCGGGAAGTGTCGCACGTGGACCGCGCAGTGTGGTCTTCAGGACGGCCCGGCGTCCGAGCGAGACGGCGTGGAGTGGCCCGGCTGGACGCCTGCCGCGCTGTCTGGCGCCATTCCGGCGCCGGCGCCATCAGCCCTGCCGCGACTCCTGGCGCCCGGCCGGCGCCGGAGGCCCTGCCACGCTGTCTGGCGCCCTCGCAGCCACCGTCACCATCAGCCCTGCCGCACGTCCTGGCGCTCGTTCGGTGCCGGCGCTATCAGCCCCGCCGGTCGTTTTGGCGCCCGTCCGGCGTCGGCATCATCAGCCGTACCGCTCTTCCTCGTGCTCGTCCGGCGCCGGCACCATCAGCCCAGCCAGGTCTCCCGACGCCCGGCCGGTGCCGTCCTTGCGCGCACTGCGATCGGACATCACCGGGGGTTTGGACAGAGTAGGGCCTCACTGGTCGGCCGTCGCTGACTTCAGCTGGAGGCTGTCTGTGCAGCTCGTTTGTGGCAAGACTGTCATCGGCGCCTGGACATCTCTGGCACGCTCGGAATGCCTCTCGCCCAGTCCTTTTGCAACGGTTTTTTGTGTCTCTTTGCAACGATTCCAGACGTCGGAAATAGTTCGTGGTGATGGTGCTTAAGTTTCTCTGTGTCGAAGATTCCTGGCGTTCTGTCATGCTATTACAGTTTGTGCCGTATGCACTCGTGAGTGACGGGATTCTCTGTCAGCGAGTGTGTTGCCAGATATGTGTTGATAGCGCTTTGGTTGTTGTACGCTGGTCGGCCCTGGAAGTGAGTGGGGACACTTATCCACCTCATATGGAGTGTTTGCATCACCTAAATGCGTTGCAAGCTCATCGCGGCTATGGATGCTCCATCGGATGCACTGTTGTCCGATTTAGCCACGGATTGTATCTTCTGATCGGTGAACTGGCGCCGAGTTCGTGCTCCCGCACGCTCCGTTGTCTGCAGCTGTCCGGGCTGGTCCGGCGCCGGCAGCTCGCAGCCAGGCCGGACGGCGTGGCCGTCCCGCCTCCCACCGGCAGCTTGCAGTCCGGGCCGAGCGGCGCGGCCGTCCCTCCTCCCACCGGCAGCTCGCAGCAGGGCCGGGCGGCCCTCCTCCCACCGGCAGCTCGCAGCCGGGCTGAGCGGCGCGGCCGTCCCTCCTTCCACCGGCAGCTCGCAGCCGGGCCGACCGGACGGCCCTCCTCCCGCCGGCAGCTCGCAGCAGGGCCGGGCGGCCCGCCTCCCACCGGCCGGCGGGGCTCGTCCGCCGGCCGGGCAGGACGCGACGCCCGCTAATGGGCCGTTGGCACCGGTCGGACGGCATTGCTGGCGGCCGGCGGCGGCGCGCCGCTGCACGGGCGGCGTCTGCGGTCGGCCGCTCACCTGTCGGCGCCGCGCCCTGGCCGCCATCTGTCCGGCCGGCGGCGGCCCTCTCACGCCCCCACCGCCCGACGCCCGACGCCGAATGCCAGCGATTTCCGGCGGGGCGTCGATGCCGGGCGGCGCGGTGTCTGCCGCGCGGCGCGGCGCGGCGCGCCGCCGGCAGCTGGCGGCTGGCGGCGGGGGCGCCAACGGCCGCCGGAAGCGGGCGGCGACGGTGGCGCCGCCGGTGGCCGGGAATCCCCGGCCTGCAGGCGACCCCTCGGCCAGACGCTGCAGTCTAGGGGACGCCCGCGGCGCCCCGCCCCGCCTGGCCAGACGCTCAGCAACGGTTCTGCCTTGTGCTGATGAAAGCTTGTGGCCGCTCCCTGAAGCCAGATGTGATGTTTTTAACGGCGATGCGAAACCAGTTGAAAGAATTCGGTTTCGCAGTACAGGTACCTTGATGAGGCATGTCCATTCCGGTCGCCTGTTTTCTTTGAACTGGTGTGGCGTATGTGGCCGGCCACTAAAGTTTTTCGAACTAGGAATCTTTGCGACGTCCATTGGGTCGCCTCGTGAGCCTTATTACATCCCCCACTTCCCGTCGTTTGTGCATTTCCTGTGTTTTAGTTGAAGGCCGCTGCACACAACGGCGTAAGTCATTCCGTGCTGTCGCGGATCCCTTTTGTGGCTCGGCATGAAGGGATGGGTGAAGGGAGGGGGGGGGGGGGGTCAGTGGGGTGCGGTGTGCCAGCCCTACTCGCCATCTGCCTCTCGGACCAGCTGAACCCCAGCTGGCACGTGCCAGCAGCGTGGCCACGTGCCGCCATGTACTATCTCGTGTTGGCAAAGGGAGGGGCCGTCTGTTGCACGATCCCGGCTCACTCACTGGACGTGGGTGCGAGCTCGCTGATGTGTGGTGTCAGACCAGGCCAGATGTGAGCTCTGATAGGTGGTGTCGACCAGGTTAGATGTGAGCTCTGGTAGGTGGTGTCAGCCAGGTCAGACGCGAGCTCTGATAGGTGTGTCAACCAGGTTAGATACGAGTTCTGATAGGTGGTGTCGGCTAGGTCAGATGTGAGCTCTGATAGGTGGCGCAGACCAAGTCAGACGCGAGCTCTGATAAGTGGTGTCGGCCAGGTTGGATGTGAGCTCCGATAGGTGGTGTCAGGCCAGGTCGGATGTGAGCTCTGACAGATGCGCAGGCTAGGTCAGACGGGAGCTATGGTAGGTGGCGCAGGCCAAGTCAGATGTGAGTTCTGATAGGTGGCGCAGGCCAAGTCAGATGCGAGCTCTGGATGTTTGCGCAGGCCGGGTCAGACGTGAGCTTTGATGGGTGGTGTCAGGCCAGGTCGGATGTGAGCTGTGACAGATGGCGCAGGCCAAATCAGATGCGAGCTCTGCTTGTTTGCGCAAGCCAGGTCAGATGTCAGCTTTGATGGGTGGTGTCGACCAGGTCAGATGTGAGCTGTGATGGGTGTTGTCAGGCTAGGTCAGATGTGAGCTCTGATGTGTGTCCTCCACTTTTGGCCTTCCGTGTCCCTCACGCTGGACACCCCTTGTCCTTGGCGCCCGGCATCCTCGTGTCCCTAACGCTCGAGATCCCGTTCCCCCGCCACTGGGCCGCTGCGTCCGTGCCACCCCCACGCCGCCTGCTGAGGCGGCGCCCACGCGTGTCGCCAGGTATCGCAGACGATCCCGCGCGGCGGCCCGCGCTCCCAGATCGCCATCCCGGCGCAGGGCATGATCGAGTTCCGGGACGCGCTGACCGACCTGCTGGACGAGTTCGGCACCGACGACGGCGGCTTCAAGGGAGAGCTGCCCTGAGGGCAAGCACATGCGTGTCGAAAACAAAAACTTCTACTTCGACATAGGCCAAAACGACCGGGGAATCTACATGCGCATATCTGAGGTGGGCAGACGCGGGGGTGCTTTGGTGTCTTGGTCAGCATGGTGCTGTTGTAGCATGTGTTTGGGGCTCGCTGTGACTGGTCACCCCCTCATCCAGAGGCTGTTTTGAACGGGACTCGTGGGTGACCATGTAAGGGACTCTTGCCGTCCAGCCGCGCCATGTGCAATGTGCAAATTATGTGCACTGGTTACAAGGTGGATGTGACCGTCGTTTTAAAGGGACTGTCTCACCTTTGGACATATTTCAAAAACATACTCTAGTGAAACCCCAGGGCCAGTTACGTCTAGTACTAACACTGGGTAGTCCTGGGCGCAAAATGACCATGGAAGTCGACGCGCTCGAAAACACCTATGAACAACAACACTGAGTAGTGTCACTGCAGCACCGTCACGACCTTTTAAGGATATCATTTTTAATTATTTTCGAGCACAAATTACGCTGTTGATGCTTTATAACGGCGCTTTGCTTCTTCCCTGCAGTCGCGACCATCGTCTGTCATGACAACCGTCGTTCACACCTCTGCTGGTTTGAATAAAAGAACGTTTGTGATGGGGCCCACCTGGACAAAGGCCTATTCCCAAGAAGCGCTCTGGTTGAATTTTGAACCAGGGCGTCACTTGAACAATGTGATACTCGCATTCCCAAAGTAAAAGCGCCACGCGCCACGTAAAGAGTATCCATGGTAAACACCGTGGGGAGAAATCAAAACCGTTATAAAGCGTTTCGCTGAATTTGGGGGGGGGGGGTAATAGCTTATGTTCGCATGCCTATCTGTTTAAACAAAATGTTTCAAGCTTTCGTGGCGTGTATTACCAAAACATGTTGACGCATCAGTGCATCAGCGTTGCAAACATTACAAAACACAAACGTTGGAAAAACAAGGCAAATAAAATGTTTTACTTTCGTACTGGTGAGCTGAAGAGTCCAATAAGATTTCTCCCGCAGGTGTGTAAAAGCATCTTAAATCGAAATTTTTAACTATCCATCTCGAGAAATCGAGTACTGCTGATCAAGTCGTACGTGCGTGATATGACAATAAGAGACAAGTACCTGAAAGTTGGGTTGCTCTCTTTAGATGAGACTGAAAAGCGCACTTATTGTGTAAAACCGTCAGCCGACTCCTGGGGCCTTAAACAACCGAGAAGAAATAGAAAGCAGTCATGAGCGGCTTAAGTCACCAGATACACGATGGGGTGATGAATCTCGGTCATCCCTGCTGGCGCTCCGCAAGCAATGGCCTTTCATTCAGTTGATAGCGACGTTGAATGCACGCTTTGTTTGAACATACCGCCCACTGGCTTTGAGTGCAAGAGGCATAAGTCAACTGGTAGGTTAATGGTATTGTGTGCACTGGAGGAAACTGTGTGCACTGCAATATTTTAATGCATCGCTGCGTATTACGGTGGAACAGGGTGTTATTTCACAAAACACAAAACTTAGTGATGCATATCAAACGCACAAGTCTGGAGTTTGCTGTCAAAGCACACGTGTTTTCCCAGGAATAGTTGTGTTCGCCGGCCCCACATTCCCACCCCGTACTATAAAGCGGCACCGCGTTGGTGCTGGCCCCGTGGCCGTCTGGATTCCACCGAGTGCTGCGCTTCTCTGAACAATACACTCCGATTGCCAGACTTGTGCTCGGTAGACCGGGTTCTGAATCGGAATCAAAGCGAATGGAGCTCAGTTCTAAAAAAATGTACTCCGATTAAAGGATAATCAGAAAGATATACTCTAAAGAACAGATTATTCGAATTTCAATAAGAATTCAATCCAACGCTCACTGTCACGGACATATTTGATAAATATGATTCAGAATCCGAATGCGTTGTTTGTTCCTGATAATAGCGTATTTAATGAATGACACGCGCGCACGCACGCATGCACGCGCACACACATACGCATAGGCACGTACGCGCATACACGCACGCGCACACGCGCACGCACGCACGCACCTGCGCTGACGCACCTACGCTGACGCGCACGCACGCACGCACGCACGCACGCACGCACGCACGCACGCACGCACGCACGCACACGCACACACGCACACACGCACACACGCGCACACACGCACACACGCACACACACACACACACACACACACACACACACACACACACACACACACACACACACACACACACACACACACACACACACGTTTGTAAGCCCTCCCAAATGGGGGCCACTTACCCACCCCTTTAAACATGAGCTAGCGATATGAAAACAGCATCTCAATAATGCTGAAAACCCAACGAGTGCGATGGCGTGCATTTAATGTGTCTAGCAATGAGGAATCAGAATCTGCAGCATGTTGCAAAGTGAGGGCCAGCTAGTATGACGTCATAGGTGCGTCATATGCCTACCCTTCGAACAGTACAGTTGATGGGTCTTGACACGTGCGGTCTTCCAGCCCATCTACTGTATCGACTGGAACCGGGCAGGTACTTCACAGGCATCCGCCTTGCCCCTCATTGTATCGCATAATGTCTCGGTATTTCGCCTGGCGCAGTGTTAAGTTAACTGTGCAGGTGCCAGCGAAGCAGAGGTCGTGGCTGAATCGTTTCGTGTGTCGAGCAATGCTAAAATGAAACCAATCGATCACGAATCAGTCACATCACAAACATTGAGCCAGTTCGAATCAGATTCCGGCTGAGACGGAATCGATCCGTGAGGCCACCACGACCTCGTGGGAGTAGAGCGCACGTGTCGGTCGATGGCTGACCTTTGTTTAGTTGCAGGGTGTGACTGATCGGCCGGGCTGGGCGGGCCGGACGTCTCCCAGCACGGACGAGCACACGCGAATTGCTTGGTTGGCGGTCTTGTGTGTAATGTGGCCTTGCCGGTCGCTACGCCGTTTAGCATATGCCCCCGATGGGCATTTTCTTTTGTATGGTGACGGTGTGATGCGCCAGTGCCCTTCGTTCCCAGCTGGTCGCGCACGTGGTTTTGCAAGTGTACTCGTCTCGTTCCCCTTCGTTCGCTGCCCAAGTCTGATCCGTGTCGTCGCGTTTCAGGTGAAAACCAACTTCAGAAATTCCATCACCATTCCAGAGAAGTCCTGGTCGCGGTTCCGTGATATATTCGGCGAGTACGTAGAAAAAATGCAGGAGGCGGAGCGGGCGGCGCAGGAGGCGAGCCAGCCGGCCGGCGGCAGCAAATGAGCCGGCCGGGCCGCCCGCCGGCCAGCCGTGGCGGCACGAGACGCCCAGCGGCCGGCCCACGGCCCTCGGCCGCGGCGCAGCGCGGCGCTGGTTCAATTCGTGTCTTTCAAAATTTCTGACGAGCGGACCGGAGGCGACGAGTGGCGACCGGGCGAGAGCGAGCGGGGAGGGCGGCGGCGGAGGAGGGTGCGGCGGGGACCGCCGGCGGCCCGGGACAGCAGGCCGGGCGGCACGCGACGGTGACGCGGGCGGCGCGGACGAGGCCCGGACATTGGAGCCGCCCGCCGCCGCAGCGGACAGAGGAGCGGGCGCGGCCGCCGCGGCAGGCCGGGCGCGGGAGCGACGGCTCGGCAGCCCGGCGGACCGGCCCGCCGAAGTGCAATGGTGCGCGGTGCCGCTCTCGGCACGAGCGCTTGGGCTGGGCCGGAGCGAGCCGGCACCGCCGGACCGCGCCTGCAGCTTTAAAATCCACGCACTGAAGACGGCATACTCGACGACTGAGCGCTAGAGGGAACGCGGGAGAGCTACAAATTATCACTTCGGCCGTTTCGTTGTTGGTTAGTTGGCTGTCTGATTGAGCAATCGTTGAAGTTGGCACAAGTGGACGCGGCGCGGCGGTCGGAGCGGGCTGGCGCACTGTTGGAATGCCATAATACTGCCATTGCGTGGCGTAGGTGGCGGGCGAGGCCGCCCCGTCGCCGCCGCCCCGCCGGAATCCAAAGGCCGCGCGCGTCCGTTGCCTGCCTGCGGTGCCGCTTCTGTGTCGCCGTTTAAAGAGGAGTTTATTTATTCGTTGTTTTGCCATTTGGTTTTCTTTGACTGCGCCTTGCCGCGGTCGCGCCGCGAGGCGCACTCCGGCCGGAGGCGTGTCTGAGTGCGGAGGCGTGAGTTTCTGTGTGCGTGTCATGTCCCTGGTGCTAGTCACAAGAACTAGACGCTCGCTGTGATACGGCAAGCGCTCGCACACGGCCCTTTGGTTCGCTAGTTTGTATTGCCGCGGAGCTGAGTCGTCGGAGGAGGGAGGGCCTCTGCCATCGAGCGTGACGAGCTGGCGCCACTCGCTCCGGGTCAGAGCAGAAATAAACGAGTCATCTCGGACAGGGAGAGTCTTCAGGAGCCGCCGGCCGGCGCGCGGGACAGCTGCCGTCGCCGGGCCGGGTGGCCGGGTGCGTTGAGCTCGGTGTCGTAGACCTCGCCTGTGCAGCTTGCTGGGTCGGAAATGAACCGTCGTGACGGGTGCCGCACCGCAACACATGTGTGATCATCATGAATAGTGCATCTCTCTTCCTGAGGTGTTTGACACGAATATTTAAGACATGAGCCTGTCTAGCCAGCTAGGCATAGGCCGCCTTACCCTGTCCTGAGCCGTTTGTCGTGTCGAGAAAATTACCCCCGTGGGGGGGGGGGGGAGGAGGGCGGGTGTCAAGACGAGCTGGGGACGGCCCGCCCCTCGTGTCATAACTGTAACGGCTGTGATAAGGTCCGCCTGCAGGGCCAGGCTCCCAAATGAGGTTCCGGTTGCAGGATAAATCAAGGAAGAACAGCACAAATGTATACTTTTGCTCCGTCTGGGAAGAGTTACCCCCCGCCCCACCCCCATCCCCCACCCCTGAGCCGACCTGGACCCTGGACCGCTTGCATTTTGCAGTGGACAGGTGTGCTGGCGACTGCTTTGGCTGAATGTCATCGGTTTGGCACCGCGGTCAGGCCGGCAAGACCACGCTTGGTCCTCCAAGACGACTCAACCAACTGGGTTCAGGGGCTCATGCTCTTCCAAGACGACTCATCCAACTGGGCCCAGGGGCTCGTCGGCCCCTCCAGGTCGCCCCAAAAACCACGGCATGCGGGATCTAGCGTACTGTACACTTTGATCCACCGGGAATATCTGGATTTCTTGAATGTTTGTGCACGAAGAATAATCACCAGACGACCATTATGTTGGCTGTGACGTAAATGGTTGGCGGTCATGCAAACAACAGAACGTTTGGGAAAAACGGCTACCAACGGAAAGGAGCTTCCCACCTTTGGGGCATGTTTCAAAAACATACTCCAGTGAAACCTCAGGACTAGTCGCGTCCAATCAAATCAAATCAAATCAGAGCGTGGGATAATGACTCTGCAGCACCGTGAAAACAGTAAGGATCTGTCTTCATCTTCTAGTCCAAATTATGCTGGCAACGTTTTGTAACACCATCACGCTTCCTCCTTACAGTCGCGACCAGTCTTCATGGCAACGGCCGTGCTCACCTCTTCTGGTTTGAATAAAAGAGCGTTTGTGATTGGCCCAGCGGGCAGGGGCATGCTACCGAGAAGTTGTTTGGTTAAAGTTTGATCCAGCGTGTCCCTTGGACCATGTGATGTTCGCGTTCCCAAAACCAAAATGCGTTTGAAAAGAAGACCAGCTGCGGCAAATCCCATATGCGAGCAAAGCCGTAGCACAACGGTTCGTTGAATTCGCGGGATAATAGCTTTACGTTTGCAAATGTTTTCGTCTATACACAGTGTTTCAAGTTTTCGTAGTATGTATTACACAGACATTTTGCTTCATTAGTGTGTCGTAAACCTTACATAACGGACACATTGGAAAGAGCAAGGCAAATAGAATGTATATTTTCATAGTTGTGAGCAGGGAGCCAAAAAGATTTCACCCGAAGTGTTCGCTACTTCAAATAGAAATTCTGGGCTATTCCGAAGGATTTCGAGAAAACTGGTATTACTGAGCAAATCACAAGCGCATGACATCACAATAAATGCAAAATACAAAAAGGTGGGATGCTCCCTGTGACCAAACACGTCGCACGTCGTTGACAAAGGCATGGCAGCGCGCATGTGTACATCAACGCAGACGACCCGTGCTGTCTGTGGGGCTGGCAGCGGCAGCCTCGGCCAGCACCGCATCAGCACCCTCTGATCCCGGCCGACCGCTGACCAGCCGGCGCGTGGCGCGCCCCAGCAGCTGCACCCCTGCCAGTTGGCCACGCTATGGGTGGGTCGTCTGGTGCGCACGCTCCTGTCTTAGGGGATCCAGTGTTGCCATCAACCGCTGCCCGGCTCTCTTTTCCTAGGGTTTTGCGCCTGTAGGGCGGTCAGATCAAAGAGGCAAATGTAACGCCGTAACATATTTGTGCATTGTTTGCGACAGTGTGCCGGATCATTGCGATATGAAGTCGGCAGCTAAAAGGATGCTTTCCGCAATTTTAGAATGGGCGCAAAATGGCCACTGCAGTCGACGCGCCCGAAAACACTCATGAACAACAACAACGCAATTTTAGAAAATCGATGTTTCATGCAACGCTGTCTCAGAAAATATGAACCCTGAATAAATCTCACTGCACCTCGATATTGTCACCAAGGAAGCACGAAGTCCGAAATACATCGAAGCCGTCCGTCTTTTATTCTCGCTTTAATCGCATTCTATGAGAATAATGCGAATCTTATTTCCTAGTCTCCACACTTCCACCATGCTCCGCAGCTCGCTTCAAGCCATGCTGACCCACGTTGGTCGGTCCGTGGGTTTCCCCAGGCTTGCGGGCTCTTCGCGCCAAAACGCGTCGGTGGACCGCGGCACGAGCGGCGCCATCTGGCGGGCCGGCTCGGCGGAAACGGTGAAGTGCCGGTTTGGAAACGGTCGGTGGCGTGTGGCACATGCAGCGTGCCGTCAGTCACACCTCAGCAGAACTCACGTAATGGGCGCTGAAAGTCAAACGGAGGGTGCCTCTAGCCCCAGGCCGGGGCCCCATTACGGGGAGCTTGCTTTTGCGGCCGGTGGCCATGTACGGTCAACCACGTGGCGTGCGGAGGCACGTGGACCGTGGTCAAAGACTGGTGTCCCCTGCCATTGTGGCCAATCTTCAACTGCCAGGACGGTGACATTTGGCAAACAGGGTCATACTTGCTGTAACGTAGGCAGGGAGAGGGCACGCGCCCCTCTCCCTCCTCGAGGGGCCCTTCAGGCCCCTCGGGACCTACGATTAAGCGTCCGAAAGGCCGGCCAGAGGTCGTATTCAGGCCCCGGCCCTTAGGGCCGGGCACACCCATGCCGGCCAGAGGGCCTTGCGCGCTGATCAGGGGACCGCCGGAGTCGATAAGGGCCTATATGTCGGTCAGACACCACCAGTAACGTGGTCTGCTCCGTAGCGACATGGGCCTGAGGGCCCATTTCCCAAGCAGGGCAAAGCAGGAGCCAGCAATTCAAATTGGTCGTAGCCTCAGCATATCTCAGGGCCCACAGCGCTGACGGGAACCCTGTGCTGGTAAGGGGCCCAGTCGGTCGGAGATAGTGTTCGGGGAGGCTCGAAGAGCCTGGAGAGCCCACCGGGCTCGACGATCAAGGGCTCGATTGGAAGGTCTAAGGACACGAAGGACTGGCCGGAGTCTTATTCGAGGCCCGGCCTGCGGGTACGAGCCCTCAAATGACAGTCAGAGGGCTCTTTGCGCCGATCGGAGACCCCTGAGTCGATATGGGCCTTTGTGCCGGTCAGACACCATCAGTGCCGCACCCACGGCTTCGTGTTGGTATAGGTCCGAGGGTCCACTTCCCAATCAGCTACAAAGCCGAGGCCAGTGATTTGCACTGGTTGGGCCCCTGTATCTGTTACAGTGCCTAACAAATGATCCTGTGCTCGCAAAGGGCCTGAGCCGACCAAGGGTAGTGTTTGATGAGCCCCGAAGACGGCCCTGGCAGCTTACCGGGACCGACGATCGGAGGGCATAAGGACCAGAAGGGCCGGCTGTAAGCCACAAAAAAATCGCCACCCGTAGGGTCGTGACCTGAAATATCATTGAGAGGTCCTGTTGCACCGTTTGATGAAACACTGAGACAATGCGGGTGTCCAAATTAGCCAGAGACGACGAACACCGACCAGTTGGCTCTCTGTCAGCCTGAACCCGGAGGGCCTATTTCCCAGGCAGGAGCAAGGCCGGGGCCACGATTTACATTGGTCTGGGCCCCTACAACAATGGATGGGCGCCTGTGTCCGCCCGGGGGCTATAGCGCCTTACAGGGGGTCGTGTGCTGGCTATTGGCTCCTAGTTGGTCACGAGCCTTGTTTGAAGAGGCTTGAAGAGAGGCCGAAGGGCCCATCGGGACCAAAGATCCAGGTCCCGATTGGATTCGAGCCCGACCCTCCACCCGTGGTGCCGTGACCTCGAATGTCGGTCGAA